TGAATTAGTTATATGCAATTCATTTCGAAAATACTACAAATATAAATTACCAGTTATTAGGACATTTCGCTACTTCGTATAAATTACATTTAGTTAAACATGAATAAGGGAAACATTAACTATGAACTAAAATAATTTCAATAAAGTACAAGTATACGAATTTTTTTCGATTAATTAAATTATGTAAGTCTACTTATTACCAATGCCTTTAAATTGGAAATACAGACGTACCAGTATTGAAGTATTCTTGCTGTTCAACTGGTTGGAAGTTAACCAAATGGTTCTAATGGCTCAGCTAGACCAGTTGAAGTATAACTGGCCTGGATCAACTGGATCATTTAGCCCATTTCAATTTCCAGAATTACCAGTTGGCATTAAATGGTTCATCAACTGGACCAGTTGCAACTAGCTTTCTCTTCTGGGATGTTTGCACCCACCCCCCTCCCCCAACCTCCTCTAACCCCAAACTGCTACCAGCGCGCCTGGACGTAATTATGGAAGATCCAAGACACGATGTTCAGAAACGGGATGATTATTATTATTTTGGTTAATTTATTGTGTAACATTTGCGTAATTATTTGGTTGAACGCGGGTTACAGTAACATACTTCCTCTTCGACGTAAATTTCACGTGAATGAAGAACATGATTCATCTCAGGTCAGCCTCGTAATATTCACGTGAATTTCACGCAGATATTTTGACTAAAATTATCACTAACGCTTCACGTGTTTCTGTGACGCGATAATTTCGTTTATGAAGATGTAATTTCATAACCAAACAAACACGGGAGTATTAGGTTTACAAACCATGGTCTCCAAGGTAGGGATAATCACGTTATTATAATGGTGATATTGCAGTGACAATTGCGTGATTTAGTGTACGTGCGTTTTAAGTTACCTAGTGCAATAAACGTATTAACACATTTACGTAAATGTCAGGAGTTTGAAGAACGTAACTCTCCTCAAGTCGATACCTTGATATTGACGTGATTTTCACGTGATTTTGTTTATTGGGTATACTTCGGAACAATTTCAATATTGGTATCATTGATTTTGTTTGGTGTAATACCAACATTATTCCTTTCCCTAAATTTAAACCAAAAAAAAAACTTCTTTCGTTTTTGATTCATTGAGTTTTAGATTACAATCACACCACTATACGAATTTGTCAAATATTTGTTAATCTCTCTCATTGTTCATGGTAATAGCATCAACATTGTCCTTGTCGTTGGCATATTTCAGAATGCACATCTTTTGGTGATCTGTTTGACAATCATTCGTATAGAGAATACAGAATAGTTTAGAAGTGAAACGTTCGGAGTTCTGTTGGTCATTAAAATAAATTACAATGATAGTAATAACCCCTGAGGCATCGTCTTCATCAACACCATCATTGTAATCATTTGGTATTATCAACACTATCATCGTCGTCATCATCATTATCATCACCATTGCCATCAATATCAATGCTATTAGCATTAACACCAGACGCAGCTTCATTATCATCATCAGTATTGATGGGAGTAGCATCATCATCAGCCAACATCAGTAGCAGCAGCAGCAGCAGAAGAAACAGCGTCACTGTTAAATGTTCTCTTTATTGTCCTCCTTGTTGTTAGTAATCATCATTATCGTTCCTTTATCTTTGTCATTAGCAGGTACAGCAACATAATCAGCAGCAGCATCATAACCTGAAGCAGAAGAAGCGTCACCAATATTATCAACAGCAGCATAAACGGCACCAGAAGTATAACATCAGCAGCTTCATCACTATTATCAGCAGCATTACCATTACTTTTTTCTCGTCCTCCTTTTCCCTATTGTTCATTCTCTTCTTATTGTTCATGTAACTGATCATCATGTACATCATTACCAGTATCATTTTACCACCATCTTCACTACTAGGAACAACAGAGCCATAAAAGAAGATTGAATGTCAACTTCAGTAAGAGCAACATCATCATAAGTAGCACTAGCACACGCAGCAGCAGCACCAGAAACATCATTATCATTTGGGGTAGCCTCACCATCGGCATATGCAGCATCAACATTATTATCGGAATCAGATGGAGAGACACCATTGGCATCATCACCATCATCATCATCATCTTTATCATCATCATCATCAACGACAATAACCACGGTACCAACAACACCAGGCATTACTATCATTTGGAACAGCATCATCACTATTTTCAGCAGCATTGTCATTACTTTTTTCTCGTCCTCCCTTTTCCTATTGTTCATTTTCTTCTTATTGTTCATGTAACTGATCATCATGTACATCATTACCGGTATCATTTTACCACCATCTTCACTACTAGGAACAACAGCAGCCATAAAAGAAGATTGAATGTCATCATCAGTAAGAGCAGCATCATCATAAGTAGCACTAGCACACGCACCAGAAACATCATTATCATTTGGGGTAGCCTCACCATCAGCATATGCAGCATCAACATCATTATCGGAATCAGATGGAAAAACACCATTGGCATCATCATCATCATCATCCTCATCATCATCGTCTACGACAACAACCATGGTACCAGCAACATCAGGCATTACTTTTATTTGGAGCAGCATCGCCATCAGCATATGCAACATCAACATCATTATCGGTAGCAGAGGGAGAAACACAATTTGCATCATCACCATCATCATCATCATCTTTATCATTATCATCATCATTTTCAACGACAACAACCATGGTACCAGCAACATCAGGCTACTCCAGAATTTGCACTGGGTTCTTGTATTTCTGTATAACGAACGCGTAATTTATGATTTTTTTTCAAACGTAAGAAAAGAAGTAGATTTTATCACCTTAAACGTGGTGCCAAAAAAGGGAAAGCTTGTGATCAATCGCTAGAAACTCCCGTTTTCTTGACGTTTCAAGAAAGCTCATTGATAATACATGTATATTTCAAGCCTACCCTTTTGACATTAAAAGTAGGTTTGAAAAATCGATTTTATTAAGAAAAATTAATGAACCTCCTCTCAACTCAACTTAAGAATTAACAGACATTCGTATTCTAACAGACGATTGTATCCCAATTTTCTGATATCGTGGGTTGCGAATTTTTCATGAAATACCTGCTAAAATTAGACCCTTATTTACGGACTTTAGATCCTAATCATGGCGGATTGAATCTACCATCATTTATTCGAGGCCGTTACTTCTCTAAAACAAATAAAACGGTGCCAACCTTAATGTAATCATGTGTTCTCTCTATGCAAGCAAGGGGAAAAGTATCAGTCCACATAATGTATGGCATTGGTTTTCAGTAATGCTTTCATCAATGTTGGCACGCAGTATGGAAGCGTATAGTTAGAGGATTTTACACGTTCGGCAAACATATATAGGGCATAAGTGCTGTATTTAGCGCTGCAGACAAATAACAATATACTAGGAAAGGCGCCGGGGATAATGGGGTAAAGCGTTTGCTCACTGTACTATAATTCGTATGTACTTGTGGAAAAAAATGATGGTGGTGGTACATTGTAATTATAACATTCCATGTTATTTGTGATGTAATTAAGTGGCGTTTGAACTTTATTGTCAAAATGCTGAGAAAAAAAAAGGAACCAAACTGAAAATGTTCAGGCCTGTTGAAGTCTTTTGTGTAACAATTAAAACATGAACATCTCATCTGTTTACATTCACGATATAGCCTCCATAAACGGCTAACGAGCACTTTTTTTAAATTTTAATTTGATACTCGAATCATTTCTATAAATCAGTAATGGAACATTTATCCTTCGGGATTACACATTGAGGAAAAACGTTCCATCACGTCAAGAAATTGCTTGGTTCATGTAAGTATCATCGACTTGCAGAATTGATAACACTTAGAAGATGAATGCAATTAGTTGAACTCCAATTGATTTTATTTTTAATTTGTGAATTAACATCGAGTACTATTTACTTTAAACAGATTTGTTTACTAGACAATTAAACTAGTTCTCAAAATAAATAGAGGACATTCTATTTCTTTGGGTTTATACGAATACGTCAAACTGTAGATTGTAATTACATGGCACGATGGTTAAGAAGGTTATCGGAGAGTATTTAACATTCTTTTATTTAGTCGTTGATTGGCAACAACAAAAAGACATTTTTGGAATATTGGTAACGATTTGGATTATAGATTGTTTTATTAGAATGGGAGTTGATAAGAAGGGGTTACAGTTTTTCCCTAATGTTCAAGTAACTAGTAAGCTGAGTGTGCTGTAGATGTACTGCTAATTGTACATATTTGTTTCATAGCCCTTTGAGGAGGGCTACGCCAGGGCCCGTATTCAATTCAATACTTAAGTACAAAATTTGAGGTTTTTACTTAGTATTTGGCTTAGATAAAATACTTAGCCAATTATGGTATTCAATTCACACTTTTGGCTAAGTATTTTACTCTAAATCTAAGCCAACTCCATACCAGACTTAAGCCAATTATTTGGAGGCCTTGATTGGCAGGCATATGGTTTTCTTACCTGCGCACAATTATATCAGTGCGCATTTATTGCAATACATCAATTGCGCATTACTTTTGATTGACCGTGTGACGTCACAATGCTTATCAGTAAGTATTTTACTTAGATTTTGTCTTACGTAGGTATAAGTGTAAATTGCGATTTGAATACGAGATAAGTAAATTACTTAACTTAGCCATTTACTTAGTAAATTTTTTACTCATGCTAAGTATTGAATTGAATACCGGCCCAGGAGCCTACTTTGCTGGAAACGCCACTGCTTATGACGTAAGAGCAAAGTGGTAAGGAGGCAGCTTTTGCTCTAAGCTCTACCCACGTGTCCACGTATTTACCAGCATCTCCTTCCATCAAACCTTAAGACACTCCTAATGCCCATTCATCAACTAATCAAGCTCCGCAAAACACGACACGATGAATCGTTTGGGCGGGGTTTCGCATGCAAAAAACGTGACGTCACACCTCCGCACAGCGTTGAACATCTGTAAGAACGTAACCACTTGCGAGCAATGATTGAAAGCAGGCGTTCGCATCTCTCTTACTTGTAGCTAGTTTGTATCCAATTGGGAGCCGCGGAGCGTTCGACTTCCTGTCAGTTCTACTATCTCTCTTTCTCTCTCTCTCGTCGTCTCCCCGTTATAAATTAAGTCTTCTGGGGGCATTGCCGAAGAAAACTTCTGGCGGTTTGCCGCTCTACTTGTAAGGCAGGCGTACACTCGCATGGATATGATTGCGGCCATCCGGCACTTTCGATCACGTTTACGGTTTAACTGAACTTACTCACTTTGATTTTTAAGTGCTCACCAGTTTAACATCGCTCCACTGAAATAGCAAATCAGACCATTGAATCGAGAGATATTCACTCATTATTTGCTACCTGTTTGTAGCACCGATAATAAAGGCGCTTAATGGTTGTATTCAGGTGGCTGTCGGATCTACGCGGTGGTTTCAAGCGACGAGGATCCATCTACCAGGGCAACAGGTGGGTTAACTTACTTCATATCTACCATTGATTATACCGTACATTCTGCGGAAAAAATTGGGAAACACCTGGACACATACAAATGCTCTCATTGCTGGCCAAAACAAACTGTAAAGTTAATTATACATTCATTAGAGTAATATTTTGGAAAGTAATTCCCCCCAAAAATGGAATGCCATTAAGCTTCAAAGAAATTAGTTAAAGTTGGTATGATATCTACTTTACCTTGACATTCGGCCCTTTCCAGAGTATTTAATGCTCTAAACGAATAATGAAACACATGAGAAAGTTTTCTGAATTTACTGTCAACCTCTTTATTAATCTTCATTTGGGGGGGGGGGGGAGGGCGGTAGTTCGTGATTTGAGCCTGTGTATTTTCAAGTTCACGTTCTTAAATTTCTTTAGTACCTTGGGTAGAATAGTCATTAGAGTTGGCGCATTTTAAATGTTCATTACTTTACTATTTTATTATTATTCAACAGTACCTGTGATTAGTTTTCGGATTGTATTTGCTGTAATCCTCCTGAATTCAGTGGCAATATCCATTATTTAACTTATCGTATCAATCAGAAATTTAAGCAAAAAAACAAATCACTTATGTTGCCCATGCTTGTGAGTACCGGTTCTAGATGTCCGTAGTTACTTTGGTTACACTTTCAAGTAATGTTTGCGATCAATTTTTACCTAATCCAATAAAGAACGTGCAATGCTTAAAGGTTGGTTTTTAATTCTAGAATGAAGGCATTTCCATCCCTACACTGTTACCTGACTACGAAAACGTTTTGCTAGAACAACAGAGAAAGGTACAGTGAAGCATTATTAGTTTGATTTACTGAAATAATCGAAAGAAGATGTGTAGGGTGTTAGGGTGACTGCTAATTGAAGCTAGAGCGTACTTACAAATGCTGCATTTAATAAGAAATTCGATGCTGTTTATGAATGCATACACGATCTTAAACCAGGGAAGAGGTCACTTTGAAATAACTTTGACTGGTAGTAAGAGATGGATACTCTCTATACATTTCGAAATTCAAAGTATGACAACATTGTCTCGTTATCATATATATAAATATATATAATCAGTATACGCAGTGATAATTTCTTTAAAGATATCATTAAGCATTTGATAGGCACTGCTTACTAGACAATTATATTGTTGTATACAAACCCCCTGAAACACCGTTCTTTAAGCTTGATAAGAGTTATACAGGGAAATGTTTATTCTGTCAAATCTTAGTTTTCCTCTTAGAGGTATCCGAATAAGTTGTATTGCTCCATGTCAATTTTGTTTCTTTTCACGATTATGATTGTTTTGTAAAAGGAAATGTCAATCAATACGTCGTTTAAAAATTAATACGCAAGTATATAGAGACCACCCCGTCAGCTCTTATACACTATCTTCCTAGAGGCTGATGTTTCTCCAAAAGATTATTACCTATTGAATTTATATTTGACCTCGAATGTAGCCTCTATACTCCAAATAACAGCTCAATTATCATCAATGGATTTCGAGAGTGAGCCCCGATTCGTCCGAAAGTGATAATATTGTCATCCTTGAGGGAAATTAAAAGTATGCTAATTGATAAGATTCCATTACTTGTAATTTATAGTAGTACGACCTACTTTAAGATTGAGAAGGAAAAGAGTAGATGGAAAAATGGGAACATATTTTCGAAGAATCACATGAAAATAAGAAATTTGTTGTGACATAATCTACGACATCTTGGGGAAAAGGATTCAGATTCATTTTATATTTTCCGCCTCTCTTCTCTTCTTTATTTTTTTACATGACATTCAGTCTGCAAATATTTGTCTCTCGCTCCATTTTCTATTCTCTTTCCCTCTTTCTTCTCTATCACCCTTTTTTTTTTTTTTTTTACCTATTAAGTAAATCAAAAATTAAGGATTGCTTTTAACTCCATTGAGGTAAAATACAATTCAATATCCTTTTGGATATTGTTTCAGAAAATGATTACATTTAATAAAACCGGGAAAATTGTCTCCTTCTTTTTTTCCTGTATTAATTTGTCAACCTGTCCTTTCCTCTTTTCTCACCTTCTGTTTATCTCTTTCTCTCTGTCTCTATCTTACCAACAAACGTTGTTTTATATATATGCACCCACGCAGGCTACACACACACACACACACACATACGCACGCTCACAACACTTTACCTTTCTGTTTCCTTCTCTTCCCCACCTATCTCTTCCATCTATCTCTCGTAGATATAGATATATCCTAATACAATTAAGGTCGCGCATACTTCGATCTGTATTCCCTGATACCAGATTGATGTAGTTCATCAGCAATGTTATTTATATTTCAACGTGGTATTTTCATAAAGTCAACAGAATGTAAAGGTTTATGTAGACAAAGAAAAGACTTGCGGGCATTGCAAATTGATTTCATTGCCTATAGGGTGGAGTGTGTTGGCGAATTACGCGTTAAATTGTAATGTTGAATGAAAGGCTGTTGAATATTGTGTTAAAGCCAAATTGAATCAGCAATTAATGATTTTATTTTTCGCAGAAACTTTTCCACATTTTGTTTACATCCTTGATGTTTCTGAAAAATAGAGCAATCTCAACCCACATTCGACAGAATGGTAGTTTTTCATTATTTTTCCCAGATTCGCTTGCCCATCCTCCATAATAGTGAGCTTCATTTTATTTCCTTATCTTAAATTTCTCTCTCCACCTTTCCTCATCAGCTTCTGGTTTCTCTTGCTGCTTCCGTCGTTTCCGATTTCCCTTTTCCGTCTTCGTGTTCAATTCTATTAATCCTTCTCACTCTCTTCCCTCTGTTCTTATTCTTCTCCGTCTCCGTCTCTCTTTCTTTTTCTTATTCCTCTGCCTCATTATTCTCAAGGTTATATTTCATTCTTCTAGAAATGTACAATATTGTTTGAACCAGCACAAAAAGATGATTAATGAATACGAGGTTTAACATCGTGCAGTCTACATAGGATAGACCACACTATACGAAGTCTAACATAATATAGGTGTAACATATCTTTAAGTGGGAATTTGGTTAGTTCAATCCACTGGCATGTGTAACCGATTGAAAATAATTGAAATTGGCCTAGACTTCTCTTTTTAGGACATTGGATGCTAAAATGCCGAATTGATTTAAATAGTGAATATGGTAATCACCGTCGCTAAAACTAAGAAACACAGACAAGATGAAAAGGGATGAATGTTGCAAGACTAATTACGGTAATTCTGTCATCAATTCGGAGCGAGCGCAGTTTAGTCATCAAACAGAAATTAAATCATTACGATTTCTTAGAGGAACGACGCGCAGCTATTTTGGCGGGAGTGATTGGTTTCCCTTTATGTCGTTTTTAAAACGAACAGTACTGTAATAAATTATGTATTACTGCTCATTTTCGTACAGACATTAATTTTCTTACAGAATGAGCAAAACAAAAATCTTATGATGGCGTCTTGTTCGATCAATCGCGAATATGAATCGAACATGAATGTCCCTTACGATGCTTCGTTAGGACTTCATTAGTAGAATGCGAGTCCACGTCGGCCTCATTTGCAACATATTAATGCCGTGATAATCCTTTTTATCTGCCCGGGGTATTGGTTCAAGTGAGATATCATGCTCATTACGTAGCAAAAGTCTTCATCATAACTACGTCCAAATCGGATTTTGGGACCCTCGGCAACATAGAACATTTTAACAAATGAATGTGCAGATGATCATAAGAAGGATGATTGCAGTTAGGCAACAAGGGGAGGCAAGGAGCCGTGAAATAGACAAACAAAAATATGACAAAAACAAATCTGATGTAATGGATGACTTAAGGTAACTCTTCACCGGTTCTGAGCTTCTATGAAGATCAGACTAGTTAGATTTGTATGCATTGGTAGGTATTATATCACGGCCCTAGTGGTTCGTATTTTCTGAGCTATCGATTCGTCAATGTAATTGGAAGAGCATGTAATTAAAAGGAAAAGACACGACGACTTAGAGGATTAGAACAGAGAAGAAAGAAGAATAATATTTGGAATAAGCCGGAGAAAAGGACATGGAGGACGAAAGGAGACCTAGAATGTTGACTAGAAAATGAAAGGGTAAGAGAAAGCTAACAAGATAAACAACAGGAGATGAAATATTTGATGATAACTATAATTTACTTGCATTCATCACTAAAGTCTTATTTTTGATTAATACAACTAAGCCTTTAAAACCACTGATTACAGATTAAAGGATCAGACATATGGGAAAATCCAACTATTCTCCGACCTTTGTCCTTAATTTGATAGGAATCACATTTGCAATACACATGGGGGGATCATAAAGCCCGACCAGAATAATGTGTTGTCAGTTTACAACCGAGATATTTCAAAATACTTTTCTCGGTCTGAATAAAGATTTTCTAATGCATTTAAGAACGTTTATATTAGGAAACAACGAAAATATGTTTATACGAACCGTAGAAATAAATGCGAAGATAAAGATAAACAAACTAAATAATGATTCCAGAACATGAGTGAAGAAAGAGTATAATAACTCTTAATGTATTGAGATCTTGGAGAGAATATGACTTCTCACCCTGTCTGAAAACACATGCCTGAGACGGGAAAACGTATAGCTATTGATTACTTTGGAGGATTAAGACGATGTTTAGGATTTTAAAAAGAGGTATGATGTTTACCCACAAAAAGGAGGATATTATAGACCTTTTAGTGATCTCCATTATGAACAGCAATAATCCGCAGCGGGTAGCAGTTCGGGAGGTATTGATGTCTTTCGTAATATCCTTTATGGAAAGATAAGATACACAGACGTTGGCAGAAAGGCGTTTGAATTTCTCTTATGATCATGAATCGAGTATACCGTAGGTTCCATCTAGACTGCCTGGAGCGCAAACATTACTCAATAAGACATGAAACACGTAGCCAGACTGAGTACTTAAAAAAACTAAAACAAAAAACACACTCTTTACAGTAATAAGTAACGTCCATTTCATGTATCTCATGTTTAAG